TTTTACAAGACATAGGCATTGTACCTATAATAAAGCACACTACATGATTGGTGCTAACAAAAAGAAATCCCCTAGAAAAGGATATTCGTGTCATAAACAATCTCTACAGGACAATGCACAAAAGAAATCTTACTATTTCTTCTATTTTGACGAAAAGAAGAAAGTCCATATTTCATTATCGGAACCCACACAAATCACACCGAGATATTGGCACTACGTTCAGGCAGATTGGAACCCGCCGACCACGAGACAACGATTGGCCAGGGTAACTCCTAAACAATCATCCAATTGTGTGTGTGTGTGCATATGAAAATGAACTTCGGGTGTGTGTGTGGGCAATAAAAGTTAACTAATCCCCAAGGACCCATAGACATATTTTGGGTACCAAAGTGTTGCTTTGCAGGTACGTCTCGAAGTGAGGAAATCAAGGGGAACTAGCGATGGGTGGTTTATCCCATTGCTGGGAAGGGAGTATCTCCTAATTTAATAGCCCTCTTTCCATCGATGGAAACTTCCTCCCATCGATGGGTGTTTGAGACTTTTTTTTTAAAAAAAAGATTTATCGGATTTCCAGTACCCCCTTACCCAGCGATGGGGCTTTCCTCACATCGCTGGGAAGGTTGCCTTATTTTTTCCTCCCTTTCCAGTAGCTTTCTTTCCATTGATGGGTAGCTAGGTACATTGCTCGGACGTCTGCTGCGGTTCAAAAGGCATTCATTGCGTCTATTCTCCATTATTCTTCACTTCTTCCTCTAAAACGCTTCAACTATAGCAGAGGAAAGTCGAGGACCAAAATCGATGCTTCAAAGAAGAAGGCCAACACCGATGCCACGACCTCTTCTTTATTTTCTCTTTTCTAAATATGATTGAATTTTTCTTATCCGTTGTATTCCGCAATTCCCTTTTAATGAATAAAATTTTACTTCTTAAATCTTTTTGTTAATGTCAAAAGGGGGAAGATATATGGGCTATGCATAGATTGAGGAGGAAATTTTCTAAGGCACAAATTGTTTAAAATATAAAAATCAACTCTTGTTCAAAACATAAACCTTGTTGCATTTATTACGGGGGGACATTTTTCAAAAGTCTCAATATTTTTAAAGTCTCAAAACAATCCTCCTATGCATAACCCCGTCTTGTTTGCCATTATCAAAAAAGGGGAAATTGTTGAAACATGGGTTTATCACGTTATCGTACTAAAGCCGTGTTCGTTTTTATGACAGATTTTGATAATGTCAAACCGCCATGAACGAGACGAATTGTTGAATATACAAGGCGAGAAATAAAGATAAGAAGAAATCAAGAAAACAAGAGCTAAAAGAGACCAAGAACGAAGACAGTAGCTTTTAGTGTCGTTGAGTCAGTCACTAATGTGATCAAGACCGAACTAAGCTTTGCTCTTTGGCTCTTTAGGCTAAAACATCTATTGCATTTCACATATCATCAAAATGATTTTAAAACATGTTTAAACATATTAAAAACACTTGGTGTTCGCCCAAACTAAAAACAAAGCCATCTGGCATTCGGCTTTCAGAAACCGACATTTAGGTTTTAGAAACCCGGGCTTGGCATTCGGTTACCAGCATTGGTTTTTGGCGTCCGAACCAACCAAGTGGTTTTCAACATTTTATGCTTTTTTTACTTCTGGGCACATTTAAACAGTTCTCCATCAAAAACACTTCAAAAACCACCTTTCGTTTTTGGTCGTTAGATAAAAACCATGTGAAACATCATAAACTTGGATAGCTGTAGTTTTTACTTAAATGAAGTGTTTTTTGAGTCCTTTTGTGTGGGAATTGTTTTTGAGTGAATTTAAATGGTTCTCCAATCAAAACATCATGAAAACCACTTTTAGGTTTTGTCTTTTGGTAAAAACCACCCATGTATGGCGTTGACTTGGTCAACCGTGGTTTTTACCTTAACGATGTGGTTTTCAACTAACAAAGCTAGTTTTGACATCACAATACATGAAATAAGCGTTTTAAACACTTGGTTTTTATTTTGCAGAACTTCATATTTTATCTATCGAGTTTCAGTATCGGTCGGGTATCAGCACAAGTCGGCTAGGCCATGGTTCAGGTAAAAACCATAGGTTTCTAGACTAGCCATCAACCCAGCAATGGGAGATATTAACCATCCATCGGTAAGTGATCCTAGATTCTAGAACCATGCCACCCAGCGATGGGAGATATTACCCATCCATGGGTAAGTGATCCTAGATTCCAGAACCATGCCACCCACTGATGGGAGATATTACCCATCGATGGGTAAGTGATCCTGGATTCCAAAACAATGCCCTCACCCAACGATGGGAGGATATATCCATCAATGGGTAGGCATGACCGTTGTAAGGCATTTAAGCCTGATTCTTTCCTTGTTTGAAAGTCAATCTCCCACCTAGCGATGGGAAGTTCTTACCCATCCATGGGTAGGTGACCGTTGTTTTTAAAATTGAAGGAAAAATGGATTACCAGCGATGGGTAGTTCCATACATCGCTGGGTAGGCTGATTTCCTGCAGATCCACATTTTAATATCAATCCCACAAATCATGCTAATCACCCCTTAAATGTTTTGATCCGTTGGAGCCTACTTTGGCACTATAAAAAGGGGTGTTTGGGTCTGCATTACACACAAATTCACTTCACATTTCACTCATTATCATTGCATTCATATAACATCTTTTTCATAGCTTTCTAGAGCCAAATCGGTGAAGTTTGAGTTGTTCTTGAGTGTATATATATTTTACTCAATATCCACTCTAAAAGAGAGTATTTGTTCTTGAGTGTTTTTAGTGTTGTATACACGTTAAGGGAAGCTTGTTTCCCTTGGTTGTACGAAGGAAAGATATTTTACTTCGGGTTGAAGTCTTGGAGTGCGGTATCTCCGAGCAAGTGTATTGAGGCTCGTGGTGTTGAAACACGGGTTTGTCACGTTTTCGTACTAAAGCCGTGTTCGTCTTTATGACAGGTTTTGATAATGCAAAACGAGACAAGCAATTGAATATATAAGGCGAAGAACGAAGATAAGAACAAGAGCTAAAAGAAGACCAAGAACGAAGACCGTAGTCTTAGTGTCGTTGAGTCGGTCACAAATGTGATCAAGACCGACCCAAACCTCACGCCTTGGATCTTTAGGCTAAAATCTATCTTTGCATCATAAAAATGTTTTTCAAACTTATTTAAGACATTAAAAACACTTGGTGTTCGCCCAAACCAAAAACCAAGCCATCCGGCGTTCGGCATTCGGTTTTCAGTGTTGGTTTTTGGCGTCCGAACCAACCAAGTGGTTTTCAACATTTTATGATTATTTTTTACTCTTTGGCATGTTTAAACAGTTCTCCAACAAAAACACCTTGAAAACCACCTTTCGTTTTTGCTCGTTTGGCAAAAACCATGCAAAACGGCATAAAATTGGCTAGACGTGGTTTTTACTCAAATGATGTGTTTTTTAAAGTGTCTCACTTGATTTCTTAGCCAAATACATCAAATAAGTGTTTTAAACACTTGGTTTTTATTTTGGAAAACTTTGGATTTTTCGGTCAGTTTTTTCATCGGTTGGCTAGGCCGTGGTTAAGGCAAAAACCATGGGTTTTTGACTAACCATCCACCCAGCGATGGGAGGAACTACCCATCGCTGGGTAAGCGGTCCGTTAGCCCAACCAAGTTCCAGAACCATACCAAACAGCGATGGGAAGTTCTACCCAGCGCTGTTAAAGCCTTAGTCCAACATCATCACAAGGCAGAACGACCTTACCCAGCGATGGGGACTTTACCCCATCGATGGGAACCCAGCGATGGGAAGGCATAACCATCGATGGGAAGGCATGACCGTTGTAAGTCACTTAATGTTGATTCTTTCCTTGTTTGGAAGTCAACCTCCCACCCAGCGATGGGAAGCTTGTACCATCGATGGGTAGGTGACCGTTGGCTTCAAAACTGAAGGAAATTTGGCTTACCAGCGATGGGTAAAGTCCATACATCTCTGGGAAGCCAATATCCTGCAGATCCACATTTTAATCAATCCCATAAATAAAGCCAATCACTCCTTTAATGCGTTGGTCCGTTGGAGCCTATTTTGGCACTATAAAAAGGGGTGTTTGGGTCTGCTTTACACACCAATTCACTTCACATTATTATTAATATTATCATTGCATTCAAACAACATCATTTTTCATAGCTTTCTAGAGCCAATTTGTGTGAAGTTTGAGTTGTTCTTGAGCGTACTTAGTTTACTAATCATCTACTCTTAAAGATAGTCTTGTTCTTGAGTGTTTAGTGTTGTATACACGTTAAGGGAAGCTTGTTTCCCTTGGTCGTACGAAGGAAAGGTATTTTCCCTCAGGTTGAAGTCTTGGAGTGCGGTATCTCCGAGCAAGTGTATTGAGGCTCGTGGGACTCGAGTTCTCAGGTTGTAACGGTTTGTTAAGCACCCGTAAGCTTAACGGAAGTAGTGTAGCTCGAGAGAGTCTCTCGGGAGACTGGATTAGCCACACGTTGTGGTGAACTAGTATAAATCTTGGTGTGTTCCCTTTACGCTTTTTACGCTCTTTACGTTTTATATTTTTAATTTTTTATTCCTGCGATTTCTACGATCAAACGCTATTCACCCCCCCTCTAGCGTTGGTCACTTATTCTAACAATTGGTATCAGAGCCTAACTCGCGTCCAAACTTAACCATTTGAGAGAAAAGCGATCATGGGTTCTTCTTCTAGAAATTTGTATGCAGGAATAGGTGAAGGGCAATCAATCACACGACCACCTCTTTTTGATGGAACCAATTATACATATTGGAAAGAATGAATGAGAATCTATATTCGTTCCACGAACTTTCAATTATGGTTGGTTATCAAAAACGGGGAAGAGGTGCCGATGAAGAAAGTAGGAGACAAGTTGATCATCAAAACCAAACACGAGTTTGATGCCGAGGACATAAAGAAGGTCGAGAATTATGCAAAGGCAATAAACATGCGCTATTGTGCCGTAAATCCTGATGACTACCGCAAGATCTCCTGATGCTCAACCGCCAAGGAGATGTGGGACAAACTTGAGGTGACGTATGAAGGAACAGACCAAGTACGTGAAGCCAAGATCGACTTCCTCACCCAAGAGTATGAGATGTTTAGGATGAAGGAGCACGAGAAGATCGACGGCATGTTCGACCGATTTTCCAAGATAGTCAACGATCTTCATGCATTAAAGAAGACTTACACCGACAGGGATCTTGTGCGAAAGATCATACAGAGCTTGACATCCGAATGGCGATTTATGGCTGATGCCATCTATGAGTCAATCGGCACATCAAATGTCACCATCGACGGTTTAAGAGGTAACTTAAAAACGTATGAATCTACTATACTTAACCCGTCTTTGAATGACAAGAGAAATGGCATATCATTAAAAGCCTCCAAAGAACTGACAATGAATGACTCAAGCGACGATGATGAAGTCAAGCTTGTCATGAAGAAGTTTTGCAAACTTATAAGAATGTAAGAAAAGGTTGAGGATGGCCCTGTGTGCTATGGATGTGGTGAAGCTGGGCACATCAAGAACAAATGCCCAAGAAGCGGAAGGAATGCTCGTCACTTCAAAAAGCAAAGAGCATACATCTCTTGGGGTGGCGACTCTGGTGATGAGTCAAGCGAGCAAGAGGAAGACAAAGAGGCAAACCTTTGTCTCATAGCTCAAGAAGAAGAGGAGTCCGCCAACAACGAAAACCAAGAGGTATGTATTTCTTCTACCGGTTCTTATTCTCTTGAAGAAATGCAAGAAGCTCTCCAAGAGCTTTATGACGAGTTTGTTAGTGCTTCTAAAACCAACAAAGCCTTAAAGAAACGTTTTTCTAATCTTGAAACTGAACTTGAAAAACTTCAAAAGGAAAACAAAAAACTAAAAGAGGAAAATAAATTTTATGGTAAAAGAAGCACCGAAAAACCCGAGAGCTCTACGAAAAATTGTGACTCTTGCATAGCTTTGAAAGAACAAGTTGCTAAACTAGAAAACACGGTGAAGAAATTTAATAAACCACATAACGATCTTAATCTTGTTTTTGATTCTATGCAATACACTAAACAAGGAATAGGTTTTGGGAAGATTTATTAACCTAAAAGTAAAGGAAAAGTTGAGCACAATTGTAAATCACCTAGAGCTCAACCTAAGAAAGATAAAAATAAAAATAATAGACAACCTAGACAAAAGGTTAGTCATGAACACGAGCATTCTAGGGAACCTAGGAGGAATTATCAAAATGAGTTTATACACAAAAATAATTTTTCAAATAGACAAAATAATGCTAGAACACCTAGAAGAGAGAAGTTTCAAAATACCCAAAAACTAATATTTTCTCAAAGTAGGATGAATATGGTTAGACCCCCTAGCTATTATCAACCTATGCATATGTTCAACCCAAACGTAGTATGCCATTATTGCAATAGGGTAGGACATATAGCTCCCGTGTGTTTTATTAGACATAGGCACCTCAACTATAATGAAACACACAACATATTTGGTGCTAACGAAAAGAAATCCTTTAAAAAAGGATATTCGTATCATAAACAATGTTAGAATAAGTGCCCTTCACTAGAGGGGGGTGAATAGTGAGGCACGAGAATGTTTATAAATTTTCGCGGAATAAAAATCGCAGGGATAAAGTAAAGAGCGGAATAAAAAGGAGTAAAGGCAGCACACCGAATTTTACCCTGGTTCAGCACAACTTGTGGCTAATCCAGCCTCCCGAGAGACTCTCTCGAGCTACACTACTTCCGTTAAGCTTACGGGTGCTTAACAAACCGTTACAACCTGAGAACTCGAGTCCCACGAGCCTCAATACACTTGCTCGGAGATACCGCACTCCAAGACTTCAACCCGAAGGAAAATACCTTTCCTTCGTACAACCAAGGGAAACAAGCTTCCCTAAACGTGTTTACAACACTAAGAACACTCAAGAACAAGACTCTCTTTAAGAGTAGATGTTGAGTAAACTATATACGCTCAAGAACAACTCAAACTTCACAAATTGGCTCTAGAAAGCTATGAAAAAT